GGAAAGCAGGATTGTTTGAAAGAATCTTCAGAACATACACAGGTCTGTGAAAAAACTTGCTTATCAGGATCAGGTAGGATTCATCTAATGGATGGTTTAGATTAATTTCTGCATCCTTCTGAAATTTGAAGGTGAACATAGCTGATGTTGGTGAGGACAGTGAAACTTTGCTTATGATTACTGATCTCCTGACCTTTTAGTAAAAGATATTTACTCAAGAGGTGGTGAGTGTGATGTTTCCTTTAAGCCTTATGAAAGGAAAAAATGTATCTTCTAATGAAATTCCAAAATAATCTTTTCGTACGATTTCAGAAATATAAATTATCATTCAGAACAATTCTTTGATGTTTTTTACTCTTGGAGAATACGGTCCTTTCCACATCAGATGAGAGGTGTTGTTCTGTTTTACAATAAGGCTTCATTTGTCTTAATTTTCATAGTTATTTGAGTGAAAGCTAGTACTCTTGCACAAGTTAGAAGGACCATATAGGGATATTGAAAAAAGTGAAATTTTTATTTAGTGTGTGCTTTGAATTCTTGAAATAGTAGGATCATGTATCCAAAAAATCCAAAACACAGCACTATGCCCGCTACTAGGAAGAAAATTAACTCTATCCCAGCTGAAACTAGGACAGTTTTACAAAGCTGTAATGGCACAGTTGAAGATTGTTACACTGAAGTACTGTCTATGATTTGAAGGACTTGCTGTAGGTGCTACAGAATTGGATGCTTTAATGTTCATGGACTTTTTTTCTGTAACACATTATTCTTGGCAAGTAATTATTTTTCCTGAAGAAGGAAGTAGAGTACTTCTGCAGAGTAAAATGGGAAGAACTTCAGGTTTTATCAGGATTCTGTATCCATATGGTCAACAAAATGTTTTAATGTATAAAAGACAACTTGAGACCTTGAGTGTTCATCCTTTTTTGATCCAAAGGAAAAGAGGGAAATGAGCAGACACACATACTCAATCTTCTTTAGTGCAGGGGGTGTTAAGATTATTACAGATTATCTGCAAAGTAACACTTCATGTTGGGTCCTTCTGTCCCTCAAGAGAGCCTCAGAAAATAGCAGTCATTCAGCTGTTCCCTCTCTTCCAGTCTTCTGTTTGCTGGGAGTCAAGGGCTGAAGACAGTCTCTTCTTGCCTGTTTAGCTCGACTTTTTATCTCGTTTCCATGTTTTGATATTCCTTGAGTGATACAGCAAGAGAAGGTTTATTTCACCTACGCTTGGCTGTGGGTGGGTTGTGCACATTCTGTCATATCACCTCATCAAACTGAGGTGATTTGATTTTTAGGAGCCTATCTGAGAAGTGACCTA